TTTCTCTTTAAAATAATTTGAAAAAGTTGTTCACAAAAAAAAGAAAATGACAATTTAACGAGCTCTTCCCGTGTTAAGTGCCAGGCTGACCCCGGGTCCCCCCCCCCCCCCCCCCCCCTCAGTTCGGGGCCTGCTCGCTCCATTGGCTGACAGATATCAGACTGCCATGGAAACGCCTCATTAGGCGGATAATGAGAGCCACACGTTGCCTTGTTATATCACCTCCGTATATATATCCACATATTTGTGGCCGGAGACAGAACATTGGGCGCCTCCGTGTGCATGAAACGTCCAATGATTAACGGAGAATTAGGGTTTTAGGGAGGTCTTCTGTTCGCCTCTGACTGACATCAGAGGCTTTTGGCTTGTTTAATGGCTCCTGCCTGGGAAAAAAAAGTGTCTAATGCAGCACGGTGATGAAAATCCATTCGTCTCCTGTCTCTAACTATTCATTTTCTCCACACACTTTCACCTGCCACCACATTCAAGTTTTAGAGATTCTAAACTTTTTACCTCTTATAATGATCTGACTTCTGATGGGAATAATGTAGCTGAGTCCTGAGAGCAAAGTCAGTGCGGAGGGTTAAAAAAAAGCTTGAAAATAATTCAGAACAAGCACACAAAAATAGATTTTATCGATCACTGCATTGATGAATTATCAGTAGATTAATATAACCTAATAAATATTCATTTTTCAAGTGGAGGAAAGCAATTTCAACATTAATATCAACTCTTGATTAACCAGGTTTGCACACAGCAAACAGACCAGGTCTGTAGGGCTGGATTTGTGGTTGTTTCGGTCTCTGGCCACACGAGGGCGCTGTTGTATAGATGTTTTCCACTTTTATCTTCTTGATTTTCTTAAGGAAATCACTTTTATCCGGAAAACTTTTATAATTTCTCGAGAAGTTTTACCAGAAAAAGTCACAATACGTGTAGGATATTGTCACAATCAACAGGACAATAAAAATTATTTATTTGGGAGGAATATGTAGAAAATACATTGACTAAAAGCCTGACCATTTGCTTTATTATAGAATATTTATTAGCCAGCATACAAAAAATCTTACTCAATTGATTCATACTCATGAAAAGAAAACATTTCCTGAAACATGTAGTTATTAGTCAGTTACCTATATTTATTGTATAGTAATCACTGGTGAATAACTCCAGCAAAACACTGACAGGTTAAAAGATTAGTTAAAAATAAATTTATTTTCATATTTCTAAATATTTTTTCATATATGCTTGAATAAGTTGTGTGACAACATGGATAAAGGTCAAAATGTGGTCACAAAAATAATTTAATGAGCAGATTAAGTCTTTTTTTTCCACCTATTTCCTAATTATGCTTACTTTCTTTATGTTATGTCCTAACGAGGGTTGTGTTTACGTAGAACAAAAAGTGATCAAAGAGCCAGTTTTAAATTGGAGCTGAACTGATGCCAAATGACACCAGAAGTGGACTGAACCCCACCTGATGGAGAGGATGATAAAGAAGAAGAGGAGAATAAAGAAGTTTAGATAAGTTGGTGTCAAGATGCTGATGAGTGGTCAATTAGAACTATGTAAAGTTTGTTTTTTGTCTCATAAACTATATTTAAATAGTTTGATTTAACTGAATGTTTCATTTGCAGTGTGTAAATAGATTAAATTCTCACTTTTCTGAGAACCTGTTTTCGGCGAAATTGTTCGTATTTGTTGTTTTGTTTTTTTTTTTTTTTTTGCTTGGCTCTGAACATATTTACTTATTTTAATTTAATATATATATTTAACATATTGATATTTTGCCGAACCCCAACTCTTCAGAATCACGCTAAAAGATGCTACAATTTTTTTTCTCAATTTACAATTAATTGCGAATGAAACGCATCTTTTTTTAAAGTAAAAAAGAATGAAAAAGATAAATAATAACAAAGAGGTAAAGCCCCACGTGAGCGAAAGCCGGATTAGCCGTTTCTACCCGGAAGTGTGCGGAAGTGACACAGCATGCGCGCGCCCCGTCACGTCACGCGAGACGGCGTTGAAGCCGAGCGAGAAAAAACAAAAAAAACATCAACAACAAAACAACAAATCCCCGCAATTTCGCCGCGGAGGCAGTCCGCAGACATGTCCAACGCCTCCGTAACGGTCCCGGAGGATGACACGGACTCCTAAAGGTGAGCTCCGGTCGCCGGTCACGCGCCGTTACCGTTAATTTACCAACGGTCCAAACGGCAGGGGGGCGGTCGTCCACGCAAAACGTTAAACGTCATTAAAAACCAGCGGACAAAACCCGCTCTTGTCGGTGGGAGGGAAGGCCCTGTAGGGGAAAGTACACTTATGGGGAGGTTTGGGCCCGGTTCTGGCCCGGTTCCGGTCCGGTTCTGGCCCGGTTCTGGCCCGGTTTTGGGGGTTCAAAGGCGGAGGAATGAGGAAGTGGCCGCTTCCAACTGCTGCTGGAGGCGAGCTAGGAGGGAGCAATATCACCCCCACCCCCCCGGAAAAACGTATTTTATTATTTTACTGGACCAACTTACCTGGACTTACCGGGTTTTAAACGTTTTAAACGGACACAGGAGAACCGGGTTCCGTGTTGGGATTCTGGATGACAACCGGTCACGTGCTAGCAGCAACCGTTACACACGTTAGCATCATAAAAACTAATGTTTTATCCACAATAGCTCATCTGATACAGGCTCTAGAAGAGTAAACTCAATTGTGTGTTAGTCTCCTGTGAGGTTAAATGGAAAAGAGATGGCAATCGCAACTTTGGAAAACTTTAGAGTCCTAAAGGTGACACGTGGAGAGAAAAATACTACATGTCCACAATTTACCAAGCTTTGGTATGAGTTAGAAATGTGTCTCTAAGAGCCCACCTACCCACATGTGGTTTGGAAGTATAGATGCATTGTGCCTAATCATATCTAACTTTAAAAGATTGTGAAGCTGCACGCCATCTGGGACAGTGGTCAAACACAGGAACACATTTAGTGGGAGATTGATTCCACTAAAATGTACCAAAAAGCCACAGGTCATTCCTACCTGTGACAGTCCTTCTGTTTAACAGTCCACCCAATAATAAACACATTAAAATGTCTAATGCCCACCTACTCTAGATTAGCCATTCAATCCAGTGTACAGTGTATATCTCACCTGTGTGTGTTTACATAAGAGTGCGTATGTTTTATTTCTAAATGGCCACTTATTCCTACTTTGACTTACAGTACAATATACACACACATATATATATATATGTGTGTTTGTATTTCTCTTTTCATATTGGTTTGTTTTATTTTTTTATTCTATCTCTTTTCCCATGAGAAATTCCTGTTCAAAGTTAGTCCACAGGTATGATCTTCAAATGTATTCCTATATAATCCATGCTTATGGGTTACTATAACTTTATAAACATATGTACATCTTTAGAAATAAAATAGATAAAAAGACAAAACTTTTTTGTGAAATGGAAACTAGACTAGACTTCTGTGTAGCTTTCATTTTTGAATAGTGGATTCTAAAAGAAGGAAGTATAAGGGATGACTACACTGCACTTTTAAGAGGTC